ATCTCTACTTTTCCCCCAAACCCTCCACTTATTTTCTTCCACCTTCCTTGTCCATCTGTTTAGCTGAAATTAAAGATGGTCTCTCAGCTAATTTTCTAAAACTCAATAGCAGTAAGAAGGAAGTCTTGCTTTAGGCACTAAATCTCTTATCTCATACTTAAATCATCTCACTGTGGTTATTGATTCAATAATTACTCATCTGCAGGTAAACAGTCTGGGTGTCATCCTCTATAGCACTCTGTCTTTTGAGGCACATGTCAATAACACTAAACATACCACTTATTTTCACTTTAATCTTAATATGAAAAAATCACAATGAATGTAATTCTTATTCATGTACCCGTAACTACATGTATTGCTTACTACAATGCTCTCCTTTTTGGAAGAGAAGTTTGGGTGGAGAGGAGAGATGAGAGGAGCTTTTCTTTCCCACTTCCATCCAGTTCCCTTCCTTTCTGTCAGTCTCTCATCTCCTCTCAGACTCTCCTCTCATTCCTTTTGCTCATTGTTTCTTCATTTCATCACCCAAAAACAGATGATGGAATGCTTCAGCACAGCCCAAAGGTGAGGAACGTTGTCAGACATTTATAACATTAGTTCTTCCAAATTGCTTAGCAGTTATACGCCTATACTCCCCTCCAAAATGGAACAAGACTAAATGTGTTAATAGAATTTCAGACATGTGATCCGATTAGCCTTTGTCTAATATGTATTTATTGAAGAATATTCAGGACCTTTTTCAAAAGAAATTGCGAATTGTATTTTCAATTGGTTTTCCATATGTCGATGCATAAATTGTGACAATCTAAATGCAATTGCAAATCTTGCATTACCGTTTGAATTTTCGCTTTTGCGTACACCGTGACTGCCCCATTTCAAATGAAAAAACAAAATCCACTTGCAACTGTATTTCTCATATCTTACGAGTTATGAGCCTCATATTTAAATAGCAATATTAATTACCATATTTGCTTTTTCATGCTCTCTGCATCGTGCATGTAACCTGCCAAAACTTTAATGGAATCGCAATTCCTTTTGCGTTTGAATTTCCGATGTCTTCACTGAAACACGTTACATCTGCTGGGCTTTCAGCTGTTTAGAGCAGACCGCGACGCAGAATCAACGGGGAAATCATGCAGCGGGACATGTTTTTACATCAACGAAAGGTGGTGTACAGATGTTACAGCGTTAAAGATGTGTTGTCCCGATCTAGAAGTGCTCTACGTTAACTGCAAGCCATTCTATTCGCCGCGGGAGTTTTGCTCATTCATTTCTGAGACAATCGTTGAAAATCATTGAAAGTAGGAAAGTATCGGAGCATATATTCACAAATAATATGTTGTATGCCTTATATATATATGCTTGATGTGTTCATTTAATCGGTGCAACTTTAATCAGTGTTTATTACCCCTTTTTAGGAAATGAGGTTATTAATATATGTGGGAGATTGCCGCGGGAGTTTTGTTCATTCATTCTCGTGAGTATTTACGTTCCTCCGCAACCGCACGTGATCTCAGCTTTACAGAAACTCGCTGACACAGACATAGAACAACAACACCCAGACTCTGTTATAATCATTCTTGGGGACTTTAATAAAGCAAATCTTTCCTGTGAACTGCCAAAATACAGACAGCACATCACATGTTCCACCACAGACAGTAATATGTTGGATCACTGTTATACCACAATAAAGAATGCATATCACTCTGTCCCACGGGCAGCTTTGGGGCTCTCTGATCACTGTTTAGTTCATCTTATACCGACCTACAGGTAGAAACTGAAATCAGCTGTAAGGCATTTGCGAACATCACACAAAGAAACGATGGAATCTCTGCATTCCATCAGACAACTAACCTCTCTTCTCAACTATGAGAGTCATAAAGGCTGAACCATGGTCAGCCCAGGCGCCACCTTTCTCCAATGAGTTCCTGTCTCGCTCTGCTTATCTTTACAAAGAAAACACGGAGATAATGATTTACCAAACCACCTCCGATGTCGACAATACTAGGACAACAAGAACTGACCCCCTCCCATCTGGATTAATATAAGCTACAGAAGGTCAGTAGGTTTCGTGACTGGCTTCAGCATCAATAAACCATCTAATAGACCACAGAACAAAGAACCTGGTATCTGAAAAGATTCCTGCGACAGACACTCTTGGACCCCCTGACCGATTAACGCATTAATTGATAAATCCGATAAACAGAAAGTGGCAGATTAAGAACTCTGTCCAGGAGAAAATTGGCAGACTCCCAACTCTGACATGGGCATGACCTCAGGACACCTCCCCTTTTCCCCCTGCATTCCAAAGAAAAGGTCGATTTCTGAGACAATCGTTGAAAATCATTGAAAGTAGGAAAGTATCGGAGCATATATTCACAAATAATATGTTGTATGCCTTATATATACATGCTTGATGTGTTCATTTAATCGGTGCAACTTTAATCAGTGTTTATTACCCCTTTTTAGGAAATGAGGTTATTAATATATGTGGGAGATAGGTGAAGTTTAGTATTGAACGGAAACTTGTGATAATTGCAGAATATTGAAATAAGTGAAAAGCTGTTATTTCAAACAGTATGTGTTGTACGACACTATATAGGAGTTAACAAAACCTGCAAATCTTAATTTCTCCACATAATAAATGGGGGCCTCTTGTTAATGTATGCATGCTCCGCCTGCGCAAGAAGGCGATTGGAAGGTCGCGTCGTGGGATGGACTTATGCCGCGAATCAAAACTCAATGCAGAGCAGATTTGCTAGCTTGCTCTTGCCTGTCGCCGTGTTAAGAGCACTTCCACCTTGTGCTCCCACGCTTACCATCAAAGCGATCGGTCATCCAAAACTCAAACACTTCAGAGAAACACGATCTTCAAAGAACTTAACGCAAACTCAGACTGTAGCAAAACTGCTGAAGCCTCCGCGTCATAAAGAAGCCAACCAATCTCCGGAGGGCTTTTCCAAAGGACGTCATTCC